TGTTGAATTTCTCTTTCACTCTGAGGGATCATTCATCAGATAGAAAACTTCTTGATAAGTCATTCTTTTGATAGTTTACTGGAATTAATTAAATCTGGACATCAAGTTAGTGTTTCAAAACAAGAAACTATTCGACTATCCAGTCCTTGTCTGAGAATTTCATTTTAAACCCTTAACCCAACAGTTTGTAACCCTTAGTTCGATATCAGGACATTACGTCCCTTTTTGCATGAACATTTCATCCATTTTGTCAGGATCTTTCATAATTGGATGGTTTAACCATATATGTTTTCACATTCAATTAAGCACCTCAACAACTTGAACTTGTACATAAAGGTCAAATAAACAAATATGCCCAGCATATATTATCTAAAAAGGTTCAAAGTTCTTGTTAAAAAAGAGAACATACCCACTCTAATGAACAAAGGATTCTTGTAAAGGCTTTAAAAAGCAAAACTCAACTTAAAGAAATTTACTAATAATTTTTTTCAAGTAAATTCAAATTCTTCTCAAATGAAAATAAGAAAATCGAGAAAATGTTGCGAAATGTGTGAAATAATTTTAACTTTTGTTTTCTTATACTTATATGTAACACTTTCAGATACAAGTCAAAGAATATTCAAAAAAATTACGTAATGTCAATCGAGTGTTTTAACAGTAAAGAAAATTGTTAGTTTTATATGTTTTTCTTACTGACTAATCTAAGTTTTCTGTTACTGAGACGCTTTTTTTATTTTTACCCCTCAAAGATCTATTTGCAGAAAGAAAGAGAGGCATACGTAGCCTTCGACTTTATTATAATATGAATAGAAAGCAATACAATGTTGTTGCTGAGCGAAAATATAAGAAAAAACTCTGTTCAATTAATAAATTAATTATTATCGGCTCGCTTTCATTAAAAATTCAAACTAGATTTGTTCTACTCATAGCTTATGGTAAAGTACTCAACATCAAATCCGATAATTCAATTATACATGAAAAACTTTGGTGTAAATTGTACTAGCTTAACGGTAAGAATTATTTTAAATAGTCCAGACATGAACTAAAGTTAAGCAATAGATTTTAGAGTAATAAATAAATTATCCAATTGTAAACATTCCAAATATGTTCAAAATCCATATGCAAGAGAGGTCAAAAATGGAGAGGAGAGCAGATCATTTTTAAAAGCGTCTTTTTTTCTATTTCCAGACTATAAAGTAAAATTATACAATAAAAATAATGATGATTCTTTTACTGATCTCAATGTTGATTATAAATAATCCGCCATTTTGTTACATGATTTCAAAGACATTTGGTGTTTTCTTATCTAATTTTCCATACGTACAATCAATTTATGCATGCTTATTTATATGTAAAAGCATTTTAAAGACAACAATAGTAGATTTATGTGAAAGAGGAAGAAGTGTCAATGTAAACAAGATACATAGACCATTCAGTGAATTTGTCTAAAATTTAAATATATAAATCTCTTTTTTTGTTATTTCAAAGGGAATTTAGAATATGGCAGCCATATTTTCTTGAATGTTCAAGCAGACAAGGTCCAGATAAGTATTCCTTGCTGAATTAGAGCCATGTTATTCCTCTGCATTTTCATTTTCTCTTCCTCCCGTCTGATTAGACTGTCTTGGAAGTGGTGTTTTAATAATTTATGATATTGTTATTGTAGTCTTTTTAAATTTTTTTAAAAAGAATACATTGAAATTATGTTTATGACTACATCAAAGATTGTTCGGATGGATCTGACGAAGAATTTTGCAGTAAACTGTGAAAAATTTTCAATTTAAACTGTAATAAATAGCCATCGTCTTTTTAGGTTTGGAAATCTGTAATCCTTATTCCAGGTATGTAAAATATTGGATTGAGAGAAAACGTTAAACATAAGATATAACCTTGAAAGGTCAACGTTTTCTTTTGTCGAAATTATTTTTTAAAGACTAATTTCGAAAGGGACTGTTCCAATGGACAATGCATTCCTATAGATAAAATATGCAACAATGAAAAGAATTGCATTGATGGATCTGATGAATACTGTAGGAAAGAAGATAGTCTCTTAGATATATATAAAACAGGTAGTATGGTACTGACGGGAATAATAGGATTTAATGTTTTGATAGAAAAAGTCCCTAAATGAGATTTTTGAAAATAACATTTCAGATTGAAAAATGGTTATGAGGAGTAAAGTAGCTTTTGATTTATAGTTAGGGGGTTCCATCTAAGGATTAGGTAATAATCAAAAAGGTTAGGGAGAGACGAGGGCTGAGTTAGGTTAAGGGTTAAATCATGCATTTGGGGACGTTTACTGCCGTATTCAATGTTTTAATCAGATAAAAAATGTTCGATTTTAATTTTAGATTGTAATGAAAAGAAACAATTTCCCTGCATAAAGAGATACCTTCCATTAGAATTCTTAATTGATAATAAAAGTGATTGTTATGGTTCTGATGAGGATGGTGTACGATACCTGAAAAGCAAAGAGAGTTACTATTATAAAGAGAATTCAATGAAATTTCCTTCTACAAATATGTTTTCTTTGAAATCTGGTTGTGAAGATAAGCTCTGTTTATATGGCTTTTACGAATGTCTAAGAGATAATTATTGTATATCAGTTGCCCTTTTTTGTGATGGAATTCAGCATTGTCAACTTGAAGATGATGAATATGAGTGCGGTATGTTTCTATATAGATATATGGATATTTCTTTAACTTTGTTGACAACAATTTCGTACAAAGATTTTGAACTTCAAGAGAAACTAGAGATATTGAAAATGACTGGTTATACAAAATTGAAAGCGATTCAAAAGCTTTCTTTCAGCCATTTAAAATCTCTTGTTAAGCTTTAGCTCTTTGGAATTAAAATTAACTCTAACCATATGAGATTGATAGTAGTTGACCTAATTAAAATTAAAGAGATCCATGGTGATAGCTATAACCTTTGCTGTTTTACACGGAAAACAATCGTTGAGCACGTTCGATGTAAATCTAAATCATGTGGTTTAAAAAGTTGTTCCGACCTACTACAAACTAATTATTTAAGAGTTGTATATTGGTGCTATGGAATTCTTAGTATAATTGGAGGTATACTCTCTTTGTTGTCAACTCTAAAGTATCAAAAGACAGGAAGAATGTTCCACTGTCTAAAAGCAATTTGTGATTTATCAATATCAATATTTGTGCTATCAGCTTCAATTGCTGATGAATTCTTTCGAAATATTTATTATGAATATGATGAATATTGGAGAAATAGTCCAATTTGCCAAATATTAGGCTCATAGTGACATTTTCAATTTTTACAATTTCTATTAGCTTTCTATTCATTACTTTAGAAATGTACTCGGTTATCACTAGACTATTAGCGGAGACATTTCCCAAAAAGTTTTCCACACCTATTTTAGCGATAACACTATTTTTTGTTCTTTTATTGGCTTATATATCCTTAGTTGTTGATAGAGTAATAACATATTTAAAAATTCCCCTTAATTTTGGCCTAATTCTGTTTAAAAGTTTCCTTTATTTATAGAATTTGTATAACCAAACACCAATTTGCTTTCAATTAAATTTTCGCAGTACTCAACTTAAGGATTGGCTATCTTCCATCATTCTTTTTTGTATAGTCATATCCATTGAAAATATATCAATTTTTATAATTTACTACAAAATGATGAAAAATATAGAAGATTCCAGGAAGATTGTTGAAAGTTTAAGGGGAAAAGAGAAAAAAGACAAGTACAGTTCAAAAGTACTCATATCATATCTTTATAATTTTCTAATTTGGACACCATTTATAATTTGTGGTCAATTTTTTGTTTTTTTTAATACTTAAACAGAATTTGAAATTATAAAATCTAATAATTAAATAAATAGATTTATTATCACAATTTTTTAATCCATCAATCTCAAATGATACTTATGTAATGATGATTTCAATATTAATTCTATTCAGAATTCAACTTTTTCAATTATTGAAAATGTTAGGAATGCTCGAGAAATGGTGCCATTCCTAAAGCTCTTGCTGTGACTCGTAGTTTTTGTAATTCATTGTATTTCTTGAATACAAGTTCCCTAAAGTCTTTACTCCACATCATATTTAAAAAAGTACAAAAAAAAATAAAGTAACATAAATAAAATTAACAATTAATTGATAAAGATAACTTAGAAAATCAAAGATGTTGAAAAAAATGTTTTTTGGAATGTCTATTTGAATGCCAAACCTGATGTCAAGTGACTGTTCGAATAATTATGAAGTGAGGCCAGAAAAAGAAAAAATTGATGAAAATGACCAAAAATTTTTGCTTATAATATTCATAAATATTATCATTTCATCAATTTTTTTTCAGTATTACATAAATATAACCCTTTTTTATAGAAATTTAGACCAAAAAAAATAATTTACAGGGAAAAAACAATTTTAACCATTAATTGAAAGTTGGCCTATCAAAATTTATGGTGTCCATTTTTTTATGAAGTTTACTTTATTCAGCCAAAGTTTTTAGGTCAAAGCTATAGAAATCTGCAAAAATATTTTATAATTCAATCTGCAAAAGTGAGAGAGAGAAAATTTACCTCGTAAACGGAATTTAAACCACCATGAGATATAAGCAGAATACAATTTTCTTTAGAAAGAAGGTAAACTTGAGGAATCCGTTTGAAAATATGAATATTTGAATATTCTTTATCAAACTGACACTTTAATGACCAAACCCATTGAATATCTTTAAATTTTACAAGAATTTTACTCATATTTATCAACAATAAATAGGATGGTGGCAAAAGTCTAAAGCACTGCCAAAGACAATAACACCAAATCTGTGGGTAGGAATATCAATTTTAAGTTTAGCAAAGAGATAAATAATAGGTAGTCGTTTTCTCACCTTTTGCTGGTGAAGTTCATAGAAGTTCTGATGAATATTTTTATCATCCATAGGCTGAGTTTTTAAAATCCCACCCACTTGTACTATATTTAGCGGTAAAGGGCGTGGAAGTTCAAAAATATAATCTGAATTCTCAAGGAATCGTTGGGCACCTTTTTCGAATTTCGGATATATGTTCACCAGGCGAAATTTCCATGTCCACTTTTTTATCTTCAAGAATCCTATCCAAATTATCCAGAACAAACGATAAGGAGATATTATATATGATATTTTTCATTCTATCAACAATTGTCATCTTATCAGTTAAAGAACTCAAAAAGGTTAGAACCCACCAGACTGGTCCAGGTATAACTGCTTGAGAGTATCTTATATAGGACGAACATTCATACAAAACGAATGGTTTTTTTATATTTCTCAATCAGTAAGAACCTACAAAAGAAATACTGATCAATAATTATTAAATCGAATTTTTTGCGTCGTTCCTCAACCGAAGAATCTGACAGTATTGTTCGGCAATCTTTGATAAAAGCACCCCAAATAACTTTATACAGCTCATCCATTTTTACATAAGACATAATTTGATAAAGCGAATCAATTGAACTATTTCTGATATCTTCCCCAACCATTTCAACATGTTCTGGGGAAACTGGTGAAGATATCTCAAAAAGCGAAATATTACCAGGATGGTCTAGTCGAATAGTTTCTTGTTTTGAAACACTAACTTGATGTCCAGATTTAATTAATTCCAGTAAACTATCAAAAGAATGACTTATCAAGAAGTTTTCTATCTGATGAATGATCCCTCAGAGTGAAAGAGAAATTCAACATTTTCCATTTAACATTCTTTATCTCTTAAATGAATGTTTATCAATGATTTTCAATATTAGATTGAAAAATAATCAATATAGTATATTACAGATTGGCTTGAAAATTGCAAAGAGTCTTAATCTTGTTTCAAGATTGCAAATTAGTGAACACTGTTGCCATCTATATAATTATAGCATCAAAAATCGACAAACTTTTTTGTAGTCTAGGTTTTCTTATGTTCATACAACTGAAAACTGCTAAAAAAAAGTTTTAGATAAATTTAAATTTTTGTGTCTGTGTGTCTTTGTGAGATGTTTTTTGAATCTGAAAATGGTTTTCACTATAATGTAAGAAGCACAGTATATATATAGACATATACAGTGGCAGGAACAGATACAGCTAATGAAATAAATGAAAGTTTTATCCTAATATCTAGTTGACATTGACCTTTTTAAATTCATCATCGAGTATTTAATATATTTTGCTACTTACTTTTTTCAATATCTATATAAAATTGAATTGAAAAGATCTTTTTTCTCAACATTAGTTCTTCCTCTAAGTGAATTATATGACCCAGAGGATAATAATTTTGAAAAGGTCTTACAGCCATCTAAAAGAAAAGTTTACTGTAAAAAATTTTAATAACAAATGAAATTTACTGATTTGCAGAGGAGACATTTTCCTTGAAATGAAATGAATTGGCTTCCATTTTGTGTTGGATGAAAAGCAATAGTATCATCAGGTTGTACATTGATAATATCATTAAAATGAATAGTTTTAATACCAGCAGTCTCTTGTGGTATTTGAATTAGATAGATTAGCTGATAAGTTAAATTATATTTATTTCCATTTTCCAGTTTTCTCCAGATACCAACTTCTCCAGTATCAGTAGGATTTATTCTATAATATGTTATGGATGATAGATAGCCTTTGCAAGGAAATCCAAAATTTGTATACATATTGAGGAAGGCAGCTCCACTTCCACCTCTATCTATTACATCATGGCCAACGATAATAGATGAATTTCCACTATTGCATAAGGGATTGTTATCTTTGGGTAAAAGTTTTAAAATCAAATATTAACTTTTATTCTAAAAACTTGAATACCAGTTTCCATAGATTTAACTAAACAAAAGTTAAAAGCAAAGTATCTATTCACGCTTGGAGCTGTAACATTTACAATGGTGGCTGATGGTAGATCTATACTATATTTATCAACTTCATAGCTCTATAAGAAAGTTAATTTGTCTGTAAAATAAGATTATGATAAATAGGCATACTTTGTACATTTCCAGGACACCAACTGATATATTTGTCGTAGAAATTGGAACTTTAGTGCCAAATTCAAAGTCAAATCCAATCACATCATTTTCATGCACATATGGAGGATTATCAATCTGTACAGTTTCATCTCCTAGTCCACCATTTGACCTTGTACATAGATTATGAACTTTGTAAAACGCATAATCCTGTCCATCTAACTTTCTCCATATTCCAATGCACATATCAGCTGATTCATTATTCTTTGAATATGTAAAATTCGTAATAAACCCATTAGACGGTACAGTAAAATCGGTAAGAATATTCAAAGGAAGTAGTACATCGCTAAATAATTGACTGTAAAGCAGCTCTGGTCCAATATTTTCTGTAATCTCCAAAAGAGAAGAGGGTCGATTGAGAAGAGTGAGGATATGAATAGCTAATAAAACAATTGATTTATTATTGAAAGCCATAAAAAATGAGTTGCAAATCCAACTTTGTTACGATGGTGTTTATCTCTTTATAATATTATCGGCTTCTTTTATAGTTAGGATCTGGACATTTTTCTATCTTCAATATATTGATTAACAATAACATATAGCAAAGATATCTCAGAGGAGACAACCTTCTTTCGTCATTGCTATATAAATTGTTCTAAAATCAACCTGAAATTTTATTGCCAATAATTATGATAGAAGACATTCTAACATTAGTATGGATATTAGTCTATCAGCTTATTTTCCATACTTGGACTATAGCCAAAAAGTTTTGTCAGAGATAATTATTTATCTTCTATTTTCGCTACTTTGATTTATTTCAAGGCCGAAATTGAATTAGTTAATGTTTAATGCAATTTGGATCAATATAGTCAATAATTTAGTATTATTGTTTATAGTTTCTGCAATATTGTACATAGAGATACTCCAGAGTACATTGAAATATATTATTTGATTGATCTATTTCTCACTGACTAAAATCTCTAAAACAAAATGTTTTATTGATGTTTCTAAGATCTTCCCAATAAATAAATCTTTCAAAATATAGACAAACGTCACTATTACTCACTTTAAACATACTTCGAAATGTTATGGAAAATTACTAAGAAGCGATTGCCTTTCAGAAAAAGTAGACTCATATAATTAATAGATATGTTTTAAGTCACTGTTAGCTACTACTCTCCTTTATATAACCAATGAAAATTTATTAGGCAATATAGAATTGTTTTAGAAAAATAGACCTGTAACCTTTGATCTAGGTGTCATTTTGAAAGTGATAGGGCTAAGGTGATACAAGATATTTAATATTTTTTAAATCTGGTTTAAAACCATTAAAAATTCTGATCTCATTTGACATCATCTACCGAGAAATACTGAGAGCAAACAAGTCTTATTCCGTTATAGATATATGTAGTCGACAAGCACATCGCCTAAATTTGGCAGCGAGCCAAATTATCGTTACATCAATATCGTTACGTCCATATAATTTTAAAACTGTTCCTACCCCCGTTATCATTCACTTTGTGTACGTGTATTACTTAAAATTACTGCTATATTTATTAGTATAAACCTTATATCCTAACGCGTGTGTATTAATAAAGTCGGTGAAATAATGGCGATCTAAGTCTGCTACCCACTCAACGACTACAGATATATATAATATCTATATAGAGATATAATATAAATAGCAGTTGAGTTTTTCTAAATATTTAAATAATATTAGTAGCAAACTTGTAATCTAGAAGATACACTTCAAATTACTGACTTTACTTTTGAGTAAAAATGTTCTATTTTTGGGGAGGGGAAAGGGGATTTTAACCCCCAACCCTAATCTAGTAGTTAATCTTTTTTCAGAGAATCTATAGAATATACAAACAAATTATTGATACACATATATAAATCGGCTGTCCCATGACCTAGGTAAATAATCAAAAAGTATGATAATTATCTGCTATTACAACTGTTATTTGATATTAAGATTTAACAATGAAACATTTTACAGTACCGGCGGTAAGTCACTGTAACACCTCAAAAAAAAATACTTTCTTGATTTTTTCTCTATCCGCACTTAAAGAATCAAAATGAGGGATATATTATTATATTTAATAATATTCTCCGTATCATTGTAGAAAGAAAATAGATGTTTTTCAAAACTCATCAAACCCCTAACGGATCAACTGGGATTTAAATTCGTAGGATTGCAAAATTGTTAGCAATCTGTTGAAAAATTGTTCAAAAATTTATAATCATGCCATTAATGGAGACAAATTTATAACTGTTGGAAATCTATTGGAAAATTGTCTACAAATAGAAATAATCAGTCTAAATGAGAATTTTGGAATAAGAAAAGAAACAATTGGATTAAACTTGAATCCACCGCTTAACAAAGAATTTTGATGAAAGATATGCTCTATAAGATAACTAAGCAACTAATGTTTGCATGAGGGTCAAGGTTATATTAAGCAACAGATTATATTGTTAAAGTAGAAGCAATAATGTCTTTTTTATGTGTTTTTTCAAGAGAGCTTTGTTTTAAAATTATAGTTTTCAACTGAAAAATAACACACCAACTCATGTTTTATGTAGAAATTCAAAGTTAATAGAAAATGAAAAGCTAATTATCCAATCAAAAGTTGAAAATACGTTACATCTTTGCGAAATTGAAGTCTTTTTAAGTAAAAACAAAAACGTTATTTAAATAAATATTTAAATTAACTAACTAATTTACGAATTTTGTAGATAATATCGCTCTATGAAAACCAATTATCTCAAGTTATTTATAGAAAGATACAAATAAATTAAATGATGGATTACACCAAACTTTCTCAAAAATTGATTTTCATTGACAAACGATAATACAGGTGGCGCTATCAGTTCGATAACAGACAAGCTTGGAATTTATCGAATTTTTCAGTTGCCCTTAATGTAATCTTAATGTTATTTATATGAAAGCTGACAATTGTGTCATCTATCAGATTAAAGCCAGAACAAAGCTAACAAAGTATAAACCAGATTCGCTTACTTTTGGCCAAGCTATGATTATTTGGTTTTCCTAAGTGTTGAACTTTGTAACATATTGTTTCTAAAGATAAATATGAACTAGACAGGTCGCCAACTGTAAAGTGGTGATTGGATATTAGGGACAAACATTCAAGTATATCCTCAATGTTTCATTACAACTGAGATAGTTGTAACTGGAAAGATCATCTGGAAGCAACACCCACTGAGACAAACCTTCTCCTTCAACATTGGACGTTAGTGTGGTAACTTGGCAACCTGCTATTAAATACTATCTACTCTGCTATTGAACTTTTACATTGTTACAAGCTTAAGTATTTTATTTCAAATAAACCATCTAAATTAAACAGCTTGCTTAAAGGTTCGAGTAGAACCAGTACTGTTGTAACTTGAAAATGTATAAGTTGGCCAAGCAGGTGCAGTTGACCGGATTATTATTTTGGTTTATTTAATAGTTTGGATAAAGTAAATATGACAGAAGGAGGAAATGGAAATGCCACTGGGGTAGTTACATGCTCTTATCCTTCAACCCCAGCAGTTCCAACAATTACAATTCAACCATCAGAAATGTCAGAAAGGCAACAAAGATTAATTGAAGACTATGATAGATTGGTGAGTGAAATGAGAAGAAAGAGAATTATTATTCCCCCAGATTTTGGAAATGAACACACAACCCTGCACAGAAACCTAATGTGGATAATACAACACTAATTCAAACATTAAGAGCTGCTTGGTACTGCCCTCATTGAACTATCCTTGGTTGCAACAATGAAATAAATGAAACTGATAGAAAGTTTACAAAGAGGATTACAAGAGGATGTTTTCATTTAGTGAACACCTAACATCCTAGATGTCAGACATTGGCAGAATTATATAAAGCTGCCAAGAATGCAGAAATCTCATTAAAGCTAACCCAGTGAAAACCAATCACAATGGTGTCCAAGTTGGAAGCTCAAAAGACAAAAAGAGCCCAAAAAACACCAAAGTGATAAGCAAAGATGCTTCAACAGAAACCCCAAATTTTTGGAATAGAAAGCATGTACCTGACTACAAAAACACTGCTAAAGAAATATTGTCTGTTTTTCAGATAGTGAAGAATCCATTGTCAGTTGTTATAAAGTAAACAATCTGAGAGAAGTTCTTTAATATTTATTGGGCAATTTGAAACTAACACTGGTTTTAAATTTGATGTCTTGATAGACTCTGGTAGTGACAGATCTTTCATCTCAAGTTATAAAAACAAATTCAAGGAAAAGCATCCTTCCCAGAACTAACCTTGAAAAACAATAGAGATGCTTCAGGTAACAGCATAGCGATATGTGGAGAAAATTTTGTTATATTAAGAATTTCAACAGAGGAATTGAATAGCTCTTGAGAATTTAGATTTACTATTCCCCAATTCATTCTTCCTTCTCCAAAATTTCCAAATTTGTCAAGTGAAACCATAAATGCTAGATTTTTGCCTCAGCATCAGCCTCTTTAGCCAGAATATTCTCATTTCCATTCACACCAAAACAGCTGAACAGCAAAGAATTATGGTTAAACAAGAATAATGTAATTTCGTATTTTACAGATTAACAAATTTCTTGTTGTATGAAATTTGGGTTTAGGGTCCACAATTCCAAATAAACTTTCAAAGTGATAGGTTAGGGTAAGAAGGCAAAACTGGTCAAATTTTGTCCAGCGTCCTCCCTCTAAATAACACTTTCCCACTTTAATAAATTGTTACACATGCTCTTCAATTTTCTGTTAATCTCTTGTTATCTCTTATTGATAATCTTATATTAGTTGATAGTACTATCTGTATCGTGCTAAATCCAACTGTTTTTCATCCAATGAAACCCCCCAATTCGACAATTTTAATGATTTCATTTGAATATTAATCATCTTCATTTCCTATTCAAAATAGGATATATAAAAAGGATGAAAGAGATTTGTTTCACATTCAGTAGTGACTAACCATGATATTATATTCTATAACTAGTGAGTATTTTTTTGCTTTTTTAACTTTTTTAAGATCGTCAATGCCATATTTTTTTCACTCTTCCCTTCCCTTAGTTTGTGTACTGCGTTTAAAATGTGCTCAGTTAATGAAAAGCCCAGCAACAGCAAAAACCTTGTAAAACTTCTGCTGACAGCTCTGCTGAAAAATTAGTTTCACTAACAAAATTTTAGAATTTGAGAAATGGCAAGGTTAAATGAACAAATATTGACATCAATCATCAAAATTTA